ACTCCGATAGCTGCGCAACGAACCTCTTGCCCGTGTCAGGCGTAATGCGGCCATGAAGGCTTAGGCTCTTTAGCAGCAAGCATCAGTCATATTCGCACGAAGTCTGCAAGCACTTTTCGTCCAGTTCCGTCTGCCGTTTGAAGAAAGACCAAAGAATTTAGCACACGGTATTGTCTCCACCAGGCGATACGCCTACGCGGGGTCGCGGTTCTGCAGGTATTGCACGCATGCGCAAACACTTTAAGGCGGGGCCGTACTGCAAAATTCAATTAACACTATCTTTGAATGGCACACCCTCAGTCTTTGAAGTGATTAATAAATCTTCCTGCCAATGTGCACAATCTGCGCAGCGCAATCCCCCCACTCCAGTAATCCCTCCTGAAGTGAGGCGACAGTGATAATATGGAGCAGATAGTACCAGTGCTCAAAAGAGTCCAAGATGCTAAGATACACACGCAAGGCAACACCACACGTCAAATATGAATCACGCACAAATCAGGAAAACATGAGAATACAAAGCCACACAGACTCGGACACAACCGACCTATGCATACGCGCAAGGCAAAAGCAAGCACGTACATGTCTTAAGGCCACGCACCTGAACTGCAAAGGACTGAACACGCACGATCGCCACCATCGTCACGACGAACCGTCAGTCAGAACGCAAACCTACCTCGTCAACTGTTCAGCCCATAGTACGAATTGATCGAAAACCCCCGCCAAGTGGCCTCTTAACAGGCCCGAAGGATATCGCTACACAACAACACACGGATGCAGCCTTAACCTACCTTCTGTAACAATCGAGGCACCATATGCTACCCGCGCAAGACCGCTTCGTCCCACCTCGAGTTCCAAACACAAGCACCTCCGCTGACATTTGCTCCTGCATACATCCAAAAATATACTGGGCCGAAAAGACCCACAGGTTCTTCCGATGCATAGCTAACAATGCATGCTACCACGGAACCGAGAGATTGCACCTGCAAAGCCGGAGCGTCAGCTTCGCTGCGCGTCGTCGGAAGGGCGCACAGTTCGTAGGCGTCCCAGCCCCATTGCCCAACAATCAAACCAACCCGCGTGCTGGCCTTNGAAGGGCGCACAGTTCGTAGGCGTCCCAGCCCCATTGCCCAACAATCAAACCAACCCGCGTGCTGGCCTTCCTGACTTCCGAAGCTGTGTATGCCGTGAACATCACGGTACACGGCATGCAAAGAAAAGAGGCATCACTGCAGTTCTTTCAAAAAATTGCCAGATGCAGATATACTCACGGAAAAGCACCACCATCGCCTTCTGCTGAAAGTGCGAGACAGGACGCGCCAACTAGCTTGCTTGCTACCACCAGACACATAAAACGTAGTAGACAATGATCGCCAAACATGTCTAGGTATTCCAGTGAATCGGCCGTTGCTCTCGCCAAGCGCTCCATCATCCATTTCCGCTCCAACAAACTTAAGGGCCAATATAAAGCTGCATGCCTTTTCCAGCATGCCTAACCGGCACCCTTTCAGCGAAAATCGAGCTGGTTGTTCAGCACAACCGTCAGTCGTCCGAAGGTGGTTGGTCCGAAAGGTAAGACCGTTGCGCACTTCCTGGTCCACGAAAACAATACCGCTAACTTCACATATTCGCACTCGCAACCGAAATGAATCAACGGAGCCGCCGACAGGCACGGCGCAGAGACCGCCAAGGCACCACGCACGCAAAGGAAGCACTGATGGTGTAGTTCTGCAAAGCACTGTGC